GGGATCAACAACATCCAATCACCTAAAACCCCTAATAACCCAGCAAAAGGCAGCAGTAAGAATGATAACAAATTCCCACTCCTGCCAGAATACTCCACCAATTTTCAAAAGTCTGAATCTGCTCACCATTAAGAACATCCATACTTATTCATGTGCCTACTACATACACAGAACAATACACACAAATATAAACCCTCCACTCAAACTTCTCCTCACCAACCTAAACAGGACACATGACCACAACACAAGACACAGATCTCTTTTCTATATACCTCGTGTCCATATCACACTGTGTAAAACCTCTATGCACTTAAAGGGCCCCAAAATATGGAATTCATTACCAGAAGATATTAAAGTAACCCAGTATGAAAATCAATTTAAAACTCTTCTCAAAAGCCACTTAATTACCATAGACTAAATGCTAAATACTCAGTACACACTTACTCACCTATGTACTCCCACATCATAACAGAAACAATCACTTTGAACCTTTTATCCATTGTGGACAGGAATATAATTGAATCATTGTTTTCACAAAAAGCATTTTTGAATAAAAATATATCTTTGCATTATACAAATTTTGATTCATTTATAATTAATATTCTACTGTACAACTATGAAATAATTACTATCCTACTGTACAACTATGATATACTCCTTAGTGTTAAGTAGACTGTAAGCCAATAATGTTAAGTTGGCCCATAATGCCTAGGCATAATAGAGGCTCTCTTTGCATTGCAACACACTATTGTAAATACAAAATCTCAATGTACTGTTTGCAAAGACATAAAATAAATAAATAAATAACATTATTATTTTATTATTATCACACTGGCCGATTCCCACCAAGGCAGGGTGGCCCGAAAAAGAAAAACTTTCACCATCATTCACTCCGTCACTGTCTTGCCAGAAGGGTGCTTTACACTACAGTTTTTAAACTGCAACATTAACACCCCTACTTCAGAGTGCAGGCACTGTACTTCCCATCTCCAGGACTCAAGTCCGGCCTGCCGGTTTCCCTGAACCCCTTCATAAATGTTACTTTGTTCACACTCCAACAGCACGTCAAGTATTAAAAACCATTTGTCCCATTCACTCCTATCAAACACCTCACGCATGCCTCCGGGAAAGCCCCAAGCCCCTCGCACACAAAACCTCCTTTTACCCCCTCCCCCCAAACCCTTTTTCCTAGCCGACCCCTATCCCCCTTCCTTCCACTACAGACTGATACACTCTTGAAGTCACTCTGTTTCGCTCCATTTCTCTACCTGTCCGAACCACCTCAACAACCCTTTCCTCAGCCCTCTGGACAACAGTTTTGGTAATCGTGTACCTCCTCCTAACTTCCAAACTAAAGAATTCCTGCATTATTTCACACCACACATTGCCCTCAGACATGACATCTCCACTGCCTCCAGCCTTCTCCTCGCTGCAACATTCATCCCCACACTTCACACCCATATAAGAGCGTTGGGAAAACTATACTCTTTATACATCCCCTCTTTTGCCTCCAAGGACAAAAATCTTTGTCTCCACAAACTCCTAAGTGCACCACTCACCCTTTTCCCCTCATCAATTCATGATTCACCCATCTTTCGTAGACCCATCCGCTGAAAACGTCCACTCCCAAATATCTGAATACATTCACCTCCTCCATAAATCTCTCCCCTCCAATCTGATATCCAATCTTTCATCACCTAATCTTTTTGTTATCCTCATATTTCCTATATTTACTTTTAATTTTCTTCTTTTGCACACCCTACCAAATTCATCCACCAATCTCTGCAACTTCTCTTCAGAATCTCCCAAGAGCACAGTGTCATCAGCAAAGAGCAACTGTGACAACTCCCACTTTGGTGTGATTCTTTATCTTTTAACTCCACGCCTCTTGCCAAGACCCTCACATTTACTTCTCTTACAACCCCATCTATAAATATATTAAACAACCACGGTGACATCACACATCCTTGTCTAAGGCCTACCTTTACTGGGAAGTAATTTCCCTCTTACATCTTTATCTATATCAATATAAAGATGAGAACCAGTATGAGAGCAAGTACTGTACCTTAAGGGACAGAGCTTTTCACTGTAGCCTCCTCTGACTTTACTCTGTTTACTTTTACTCTGTGTTCTGTTTGTTAGGAAATTATAGATCAATCTAACAACTTTTCCAGTTATTTCATTATCACTCATTTCTTTGGTGTCACCTGTGTAAGTCCTGTTGGGAGCTGCTTGTATCTCAAGGTACCACTGTACATATATTTTTTTTTTAAATTTTCGACCTTGGGAACATTGTCGGTCAACAACCAATAGCATGTACAAAAACCAGGTCATTTTCTTCTCAAATACTTTGTTCAAAAACCGATTTGTTCAAGAAGTAGTGCATTCGACAATCAAGGTTCCACTGAATATTAACCCTTTCAGGGTCCGTCCCGTAGATCTACGGCTTTACGTTCAGGGTCCAAACCGTAGATCTACGCCATGAGCTCTGCTCACTCTGATAAACTGTGAGTGGTACATTTGGGCCTAGATATGAGAGAATACATCTATGTGGTATGTGTGCACCACATAAAACAGATCCTGCAGCACACTGTGTATAATGAGAGAAAAAAAATGAAATCATGATTTTTCGATTAAAACAGCAACTTTGCAGTGTTTTTTCGTATGTTTTTTATAGTTGTATTTGCGATTTCTTGGTCTCATTTGATAGAATGGAAGACATATTACAGAAATAGAGATTGATTTTGATTGGTTTTAGCACTGGAAATGGCTTGAAACTGAGCTCAAAGTAGCAGAAATGTTAAATTTTTGCCGATATTCAAGAGTAAACAAACGACTCACACATCTAATACACATCAGCTGGTGGGTCTAATATACATTCACAAATATGGTGATGATATTATTACAATTATTCATATTGCATCAACTGATAAATCTTTCATATTTTTTGTTTCCTCATATATAAAATTTTTATTTTTGAATAACAAATCATACCAATGAACTTCTCTTCAGAAGCTCCAAACACATGATCTATGAAAGAGCAAATGTTAACTTTTATGTGCCAGATCCTATCTTTTACATTCCTGACCCTTTTGAAATTAAATTCTAACTTCTCTTAAATTGGCAAAATTAAAACAACCCGACAACAATCTTGTTAGGGCTAACTTTACTGGAATAATTTCCTTGTCTCTATCTATATCAATATAAGAGATAAACCAGTGAAATAGCAAGTATGTTTGGGACAGAGATATTCATTAGCCTCCATCTGATTCAACTCGTTTCATTTTAAATCGTGTTCGTTTGTTGAAATTATAAATCAACGAAGCAAATTTTCGTTTTTTATTTCCCCCAATTTCGTCACTTTTTGTTTTATTCTAACTTACAAAAAATTTCTGACCTTGAACATTTTATAACAAAATAAGTACAAATATTTTTTTTGAAAAACTTTGGCACAACTCGTGACTCAAGAAGTTGTGGACACATGGTCCCTGAAAGGGTTAAAATCACCATTAGGCATCATTCCAGACAAGAGAGAGCCGAGCAGTCTTAAAACTCTCAGCAGTTCCTAAGACACCATGACAAAGAAGCACGTTGCTCTGGAGTGCTATAGTTTTATATTTATGCTATTATTGATAACTTTATTATTTTAGGTACTGCAAATTTTCAGAATTATATAAGAAACACACTGCATATCATAAAAACCTAATACAAACAGCCATAAGGGAGGAAACTGACATGGTGGGATTTGGGTGATTGGCAGAGGTTACACAGCTAGGCTCAGCTTTGTTCATTCATACATGTCTAGTACCATCATACTTTATGCTGCTATGTTGATATACATTCAGTGTCATACCTTAGCCATACACCTCCACCCACACCAACTGCTCATTCCACCTCCCCCCCCCCCATGGCCACACTCTCGCTGTACAACCAGCAATAACCCCCACCCATACCACCTACTCCTATAAATCCCCCATGCCTCTAACTCATTCCTGCCTCTCCCATCCATACTTCCTGCCCATATAATTCCCCAAGGGTCACACACCTTCACACACACCATTCCAACCAGCAACATCCACCCACAGAACTCCCCTAAAGACACATACCAGCACTGACACCATCCCAACCAACACCCTACCCCCCACACAATCCTCCCATACAATTCCCCCAATGGCCACATACTCACACCTATACCATTCCCCCACAACCACCATTTCCTCATGGTTACATTCCCCCTACAACTTCACCCACACACTTTACCTGACCTTTCACCCTAACATGCCATCCACATACCTAATCACTTAATTACCCACTATGCTCATTACCACCAGCTGCACAATCACCTGCCTAGTCACCCATCACCCAATCACCACTCACACCAGGCTACTAAAACACACCTTTCACCCACACCATTCCCCCACAGCTTCTAACCCTCACTGCCCCACTCCCACAGCCCCACACCCCACACCTTACCATTTTTTTGCAGTTCATACGCCCTAACATGCCATGTACACTCCTAGTCATGTAACCAACAACCACCCTAATTACTACCCACAACAACTGCACACCTGCTCAGTCACCCATCATCCACACTACCACCCACACTGAGGAACAACACTGCCACCCACATGGTCACCATCACACCACCTCACTGTTTCCAGCCACTGTCCCCACACCCCTCCAACACACAACATCATACGTTTGTAAAAAAAAAATGACGTATATGGTTTGCTACTATCCACAGTTTGAATATCCACAGAAGGTCTTGGAAAGTATCTCCCCTCCCCCCCAGCACTGTAGTGCAAATTTGAACAATATGACCACTTTCACAGAATTCATTATTCACGCTATTCGAGACCCTGCTGTATTTATGTTTAAGTAAGTTTTAGAAACTAAGTACAGTATTCACATTCAGCTTGTATGCATTTACGAAACTATAATGTGCTTCATGACATGCAAGAATGTATATGTATATAGAGTAGAGCAGATGTAATACTTACTTAAGGTTTCTGCTTCTCCAGGCTGTCACACAGTATGGCTCTTCTGGGAAGAGAATGAGCTGCAAAAGAAAATATGATGTTAATGAAGATTTAAATATATTTAATTTTGAGGCATTAGGTGATCAAGAGTGACATTCCTAGTCTTTTTAAAGAGTGACATCCCCAGTCTTTTTAAGAGAGTGACATCCCTAGTCTTCTTAAAAAAGCAACATCCCTAGTCTTCTTAAAAAAGCAACATCCCTAGTCTTCTTAAGAGAGTGACATCCCTCTTGCACTGCGTCCGACGTACTAATATCCAGGTGCTGGCACTGCATCCGACATAGTATGCAGGTACTAGTACTGTATATGATGTACTAGTACACAGGTGCTGGTACTCTGTCCAACATACTAGTACACAGGTCTTGGTACTGCATCCGATGTACTAGTACGCAGGTGGTGGTACTGTGTCAGATGTACTGGTACACAGATGCTGGTACTGAATCTGACATATCAGTAAGCACCATCTTTCACGTCCACTGTTACAAAAAGCATCCTCAACAAAGGTCTCCAGAGCATGCTAGAGGATTTAACCCCATCTAACAGCTGGCCTGTTTCTGGTTTTGTAACACGAAGTTGTAATATAAGAATTTGGGATCACAAAACAAACAGATCAAATTTAAGATTTTTACTAGTAAAGTTGTCTAGCAGTATATACAGTGGACACCCAGATTACATTGTAATCGGAATACGTAATATTCAGAATAAGTAACATTTTTTTCGTCAAAATATTGGCTCAGTGATCGTCAATGAACTCGGTATAAGTCATTCGTCCAGAACATGTCCGCATGGCCTGAGCGGCCCCGACACTCCATGTACAGCCCGTGTGCCATTGTTCATTAGCCGGTGACGACAATCCCATGCATTCATATCGTATACAGTGGACCCCCGAGTTTCGTCGGCATCGAATTTCGTGAAATCCGACTTTCGGCAAGTTTTTTCACGTGATTGAACTCGTGATTCGGCGACTGTCCGGTACCTATCCGTCCATCACCGCGCACACAAAGCCAGTCTCCCGCACCATTCACACTCAGTGTGCCATTGTTTACCAGCACGTGACCATCACCCCGCGGGTTCATACAATACATTTCGAAATAATCCACTGTTTTTTGTGATTGCAACTGCTAAATAAGTCACCATGGGCCCAAGGAAAGCTAGTGCAAGCCCTCTGGTGAAGAAAGTGAGGAACACGATCGAATTCAAGAAGGAAATCATTAAAAAATATGAGAGCGGAGTGCGTGTTACAGAACTTGCCAGGATGTATGGCAAACCCCATTCAACCACCACTTCGATCGTGGCGAAGGGAAAGGATATAAAGTGTGCTGTTGTTGCATAAGGGGTAGATATGCTGACAAAAAGGAGATCGCAAATCCTCGAAGAAATGGAAAGGTTATTGTTGGTGTGGATTATCAAAAAACAGTTAGAAGGAGATAGTGTTATGCAATCGATAATATGTGAAAAGGCAAGGCAGTTGCATGATGATCTCATAAAGAAAATGCCTGCAACAAGTGGTGATGCTTGTGATTTTAAGGCCAGCAAAGGTTGGTTTGAGAGATTTAAGAAGCGTAGTGGCATTCACAGTGTGATAAGGCATGGTGAGGCTGCCAGTTCTGACAAAAAAGCAGCTGAGAAGTTTGTACAGGAGTTTAAGGAGTGTGTAGACACTGGAGAATTCAAACCCAAACAAGTGTTTAATTGTGACAAAACAAGCCTCTTTTGGAAGAAAATGCCAGAGAGGACCTACATCACGCAGGAGGAAACGGCACTCCCAGGACACATGCCTATGAAGGATAGGCTTAATCTCATGTTTTGTAGTAATGCTAGTGGGGATTGCAAAGTGAAGCCTTTACTGGTGTATCACTCTGAAAATCCCAGTGTGTTCCAGAAAAACAGTGTCGCCAAGAGTAATTTGTGTGTGATGTGGAAGGCTAACAATAAGGCATGGGTCACAAGGGGAATTTTCTTAGACTGGTTTAATGAAGTGTTTGGCCCCAGTGTGAAGAAATACCTCTTGGAAAATATATTGCCACTCAAGTGCCTCCTGGTAATGGACAATGCTCCTGCTCATCCTCCAGACTTGGAAAAGCAAATAGTGGAGGAGTTTAGTTTCATCACGGTGAAGTTCTTGCCCCCTAATACAACTCCTCTCATCCAGTCCATGGACCAGCAGGTCATTTCAAACTTCAAAAAACTGTACACTAAAGCAAGTGTTTCAAAAGTGCTTTGAAGTGATCTCAGACACTGAATTGACCCTAAAAGAGTTCTGGAAAGATCACTTTAATATCCTCCATTGCATAAACCTTATAGGTAAGGCTTGGGAGGGAGTGACTTCCAAGACTTTGAATTCTGCTTGGAGAAAATTGTGGCCAGAATGTGTACAAGAGAGGGATTTTGAAGGGTTTGGGGCTGACCCTCAGGAGCCTATGCCAGCTGTGGAATCTATTGTGGCATTGGGGATATCCCTGGGGTGAGTGGTGAGGATGTGGAAGAGTTGGTGGAGGACCACAGGGAAGAGCTAACCACTGCAGAGCTGCAAGAGCTTCATCTGCAACAGCAAGAGATCACAGCTCAGGAAACTGCTGCAGAGGAGGAAGAGAGATTGAGGAAGGTGCCTTCTGCAAAGATTAAGGACATTTGAGCAAAGTGGACTGAAGTGCAAACATTTATGGATGAACTTCACCCTAACAAAGCTGTTGCAGGCCGTATTGGCAACATGTACAACGACAGTGGCGTGTCCCACTTCAGACAAATCTTAAAGAAACGCCAGAAACAGAGCTCTCTGGACAGATATTTTGTGCAACAGGGGTCCAGTGACTCTCAAGTTGTTCCCAGTGTCTTCAAAAAACAAAGAAGGGAAGTAACCCCAGATAAGGACTTCATACCTGAAATCCTAATGGAAGAAGATTCTCCTTCCAAACAATAGTGTACACCTTCCTCCTATCCCCATTTCCCATCTTCCATCCACCCAGAGGTCTTCAGTAAAGGTAAGTGTAATGTTATTATTATTTATATATGTATGTACTTGATTTCTCATTGTTTTCAGTATGTAAATCTTTATTTAGTTTGAAAAAAATATTTTATTTTAATATTTTTGGGTGTCTGGAATGGATTAATTTTATTTCCAATATTTCTTATGGGGAAAATGGTTTCACCATTCGGCAATTTCGACATTCGGCAGACTCTCTGGAATGGATTAATCATGAAACTTGGGGGTCCACTGCATATACAGTGGACCCCCGGTTAACGATATTTTTTCACTCCAGAAGTATGTTCAGGTGCCAGTACTGACCGAATTTGTTCTCATAAGAAATATTGTGAAGTAGATTAGTCCATTTCAGACCCCCAAACATACACGTACAAACGCACTTACATAAATACACTTACATAATTGGTCGCATTCGGAGGTAATCGTTATGCGGGGTCCACTGTAATATATATATATAAAATATATATAATATATATATATATATATATATATATATAATTAATATATATAATATAATATATATATAGGTAGTAGGTTGGTAACACAACCACCCAGGAAGTACTACCGTCCTGCCAGATGACTGTGAAAAAAAAACCTGTAACTGTTTTGCATGATGGAGGTTTGCTGGTTTCTTTTTCTGTCTCATAAACACGCTAGATAACAGATATCTTGTTACTCCTACTTACACTTTGGTCACACTTCACAGACACGCACATGCATATATATATACATACATCTAGGTTTTTCTCCTTTTTCAAATAGCTCTTGTTCTTTTTTTATTTCTTCTATTGTCCATGGGGAAGTGGGAAAAAAATCTTTCCTCCGTAAGCCATGCGTGTCGTATGAGGCGACTAAAAATGCCGGAGCAATGGCTAGTAACCCCTTCCCTGTAATACATTTTCTAAAAAAGAGAAGAAGAAAAACTTTATAAAACTGGGATGCTTAAATGTGCGTGGATGTAGTGCGGATGACAAGAAACAGATGATTGCTGATGTTATGAATGAAAAGAAGTTGGATGTCCTGGCTCTAAGCGAAACAAAGCTGAAGGGGGTAGGAGAGTTTCAGTGGGGGGAAATAAATGGGATTAAATCTGGAGTATCTGAGAGAGTTAGAGCAAAGGAAGGGGTAGCAGTAATGTTAAATGATCAGTTATGGAAGGAGAAAAGAGAATATGAATGTGTAAATTCAAGAATTATGTGGATTAAAGTAAAGGTTGGATGCGAGAAGTGGGTCATAATAAGCGTGTATGCACCTGGAGAAGAGAGGAATGCAGAGGAGAGAGAGAGATTTTGGGAGATGTTAAGTGAATGTATAGGAGCCTTTGAACCAAGTGAGAGAGTAATTGTGGTAGGGGACCTGAATGCTAAAGTAGGAGAAACTTTTAGAGAGGGTGTGGTAGGTAAGTTTGGGGTGCCAGGTGTAAATGATAATGGGAGCCCTTTGATTGAACTTTGTATAGAAAGGGGTTTAGTTATAGGTAATACATATTTTAAGAAAAAGAGGATAAATAAGTATACACGATATGATGTAGGGCGAAATGACAGTAGTTTGTTGGATTATGTATTGGTAGATAAAAGACTGTTGAGTAGACTTCAGGATGTACATGTTTATAGAGGGGCCACAGATATATCAGATCACTTTCTAGTTGTAGCTACACTGAGAGTAAAAGGTAGATGGGATACAAGGAGAATAGAAGCATCAGGGAAGAGAGAGGTGAAGGTTTATAAACTAAAAGAGGAGGCAGTTAGGGTAAGATATAAACAGCTATTGGAGGATAGATGGGCTAATGAGAGCATAGGCAATGGGGTCGAAGAGGTATGGGGTAGGTTTAAAAATGTAGTGTTAGAGTGTTCAGCAGAAGTTTGTGGTTACAGGAAAGTGGGTGCAGGAGGGAAGAGGAGCGATTGGTGGAATGATGATGTAAAGAGAGTAGTAAGGGAGAAAAAGTTAGCATATGAGAAGTTTTTACAAAGTAGAAGTGATGCAAGGAGGGAAGAGTATATGGAGAAAAAGAGAGAGGTTAAGAGAGTGGTGAAG